TCCAATGACGAATAAAAACCTTCAGTATTTTTTCCATTATAATAATATAACCGCACCTTAACACCTGATGAAAAAATCTCTGAAGATATCAATTTAACTTCTCGTCCAATGCCTATAAAAAATTATATAGTGTGTCGATACGATCTTTGGATCTATAAAATCTCAATTCGTTATTTTTTGTCTTATATTTGAATTTCATAAAGAATATAAGAAAAATCAAAATTTAATAACCTGATAAGCCAGTTGTAATAAACGCCGGTCATCGCCTGAGATCGAAAAAAATATGAAATAAAAACTCGAATTTTTATAAAATAATATAGAAATTTATAGTAATGTTCAGAATGTTTTAATAAGTCATTATTTTACTGACCATGTGTCATAACATTTGCTATAATAATTACAATTATCCACGACAACAAAATTAACTATTTAATAACACATTAAATAAATTCATCTCTAATTATAATAACAATTTCTTAATTGGTCGACATTTTTGAATAATTCCAATGATGTCTACTTGGATGACTGGCCTGGATGCTATTCCTTCTCAATTGCTTTGGAATTCTTTTCAAAATGCTGAATCATTCGAATAAAATACTCAAAATTGAAGTTTTGATGATCTGTAATATTAGTTGACATGTTCGAGATATTTTTCTATAATTACAGGTCATAGACTTGCCTTCTATAGTAATTAAATCCGTTCAGATAAAATATCTTCTGACATCTGGCCAGAAGAAAATCTGTGAGAATGGATTACTATGGGAGTAAATGTTGAGTAATTAAAATTTTGGTAATTAGGAGAATTGTATTGAAAGTTGAAAGTCGGAATTAGCTCGTGTAATAAGTATCTTTCCTTTAATATCTGATTAGTGGAAGATTTTTCTGTTTTTTTTTTCTTTGTCGACCTATTTTCAAATTTATGTATTTGCAATAATAATTTTTAGGTCTGGTTACATTCTTAAAGCCATGTTTAGATTTCTTTATATATATATATATATATATATATATATATATATATATATATATATATTTGTTGGAAAAAATAGATAAAATTATAGACTATAGACAAACTTTGCAAATAAATGCTTTAATATTTACATGTTTATACTTACATCATAATAATTGTTTTCCTTTTATATTATTTAATTTTTCTGGATATTAAACAATCTACAAAATGTTATAATTTAATTTTAACCTCCCATATAGTTATTTTTGTGTAACTGTATTTTTAAAAGTATTTTATATAAGTTGTTATAGCAATAAATTTGAATAATAACTACTATAATTTTTTACGATAATTAAAATTAAGTACAAATTAGAAGACATATTATTTTACCAAAATCTATAGATGTTAAATGTTAAAAATTTGCAAAAAGCTACCTTAAAAAATTGATAGAAAAGGCTACCTAGAAAATTAACTTTTTAAATTAGAATCTAAATTTTAAATTAAATAATGATTTTCAAACGATTCAACATAATTTTTAGCTCTAATTTTCTTGTCTTTCTGATATGTTAAAAATAAATATACGTAAATTTAAAAAGTTTTTTATAATTATAAAAAATTTCTCAGAACTCGACGTCAAAATGAAAAAAATAGAGAAAAATATGTCTCATGTATTTTGAAAATTTTGAGCTTTCAAGTGCAACCCAGAGCTTTGGTGAAATTATGGCCATTTTTTGGATACTGTGAAACTGGTTTGATTTATATACAGAGTGTCCCAGAACTCAACGTCAAAATTTAAAAAAAACTAAAAAATATCTCAAATAGTTTGAAAATTATGAGCTTTCAAGTGCAACCCAGAGTTTTGGTGATATTATGGCCATTTTTTGGTTACTCTGTAACTGGTTTAATTTATATACAGGGCGTCCCAGAACTCGACGTCAAAATGAAAAAAATTAAAAAAAATATCTCTAATAGTTTGAAAATATTGAGCTTTCAAGTGCAACCCAGAGCTTTGATGAAATTATGGCCATTTTTCAGTTACGGTTTCACTGGTTTAATTTATATACAGGGTGTCCCAGAACTCAACATCAAAATAATAAAAAAAATATATATATCTCAAATAGTTTGAAAATTATGAGCTTTTAAGTGCAACCCAGAGCTTTGGTCTAAACTGTGACTATTTTTCGGGTATTGTGGTCAATTTTTATTATTTTTGTTCATTTTAACTTTCGAACCATAACTTTGATTAACATTTGTTAAAACACATTTAAAAATAATGATGCATTTGCCTCAAGTTTTCTCGAATTTTTGAATAAATTTAAATTTCTAAAAGTGGCCGAGTTTGAGAGACCGTCCTTTAAAAAAAATACACTAAGGTATATTGGCAAATTTCATCAAAACTCTACAAATTTGATCAATGTTGTAAAATAGTAAAATACTTGATGGTTACATAATAAAAAATTTGAGAAAGAAAAACAGAAAATGGCAAAAAATTTGCATTGTGCAAATTGTGCATTTTGCTCACTCAGTTCAGATGTTTGTTGTACGCAATTTTTTTCGACTAATAAATATTATTAATTTATATAAACAAAATTAAGTCAAAATTAAGTCTAATAACTTCAATAAAGTCACCAAAGCCATAATATTCTATACCAATTTAAATAATAATAATAAATTCATCGTACACTTCGCAATCTCAATAATATATATATTATATATAGAGGATATATCCTCCTCTATCGATTATGATTTTCTTTCTAAATACGTCCCAGATATTCTTATTATAATGTCGCAATTATTATGAAACACACGTTTAAGAAGTAAAATGTGTATTTATTCTGTAATAAAATTATTCATTGCGGTTCACGAAAGCAACACTTCGGAATTATATGGAAACAAAACACTTGGATATTTGAAACAGATATGGCACCGAGATTCCAAATAGGTTTGTAAACGACTCTATAATTGAGGCCAGAGTTCTGGAACTGGCCATAAAATTTTATATAGAGGAAACAGGAGGTAAATGACTCAGTTTTTATTAAAAAATTATGTCCTGGCTCTGGTAAAATTTGTATTGAAATACTTAATTTGAAAATATCAAGTTAAAACCATGAACTACCTATCCACGCTTTTTTTTAAACACTTTTCACTCAATAGTGAAACTATCAAGTTGAAGCCATGAATAAATTAAATAATTTTGTAATTTTTGATATTTTTGTGATTAATATTTAATTAATTTTATTATAGTTGATATTTTCTGTCTTATTTCTAATACATTTATTATAGAACTATTTTGTGATAAAATAAATTAAGATCCACGATTTTTTAAACATTTTTACTCAATTCAAAAATGATATCAAGTTAAAACCATCGACGTTTTTCTTGTTCGTCATAAGATTTTTCTCAATTTTATTAATTTTGCAATAATTCATGTTTTTGTAATTAATATTTTGTTAAGTTTGTCAAAATTGATATTTTCTGTCTTATTTTTAAATATTTATTATACAACTATTTACGATGAAATAAGTTAGGGTAACCATGTTTTTTAAATAAATGCACTTAATTTGAAAATATTCACGTTTTTCTCTTATTCACATTGAAAAAATCTATTTTAATAATTTTTACAATAATTGTCATTTTTGAAATTAAGATTTTAATAATTTTGTTATAATTAATATTTTCTGCCTTATTTTTAATACATTTATTATAAAATTATTTCTCATCAAAATAAATTAAAGTTCAAAATATTCTAGTAATTATACCCTCAAAATATTGGGAATTGTCTAATACATTTTGGATTATCTGAAGAAGTCATAAATTATTTGAAAATGTTGTAGATTGCTTTAAAATATTGTGAATTATCTGAAAATTTTGTTAATTTTGTAATTTGTTGAAAATGTCGCCTTAAAATGTCGTGAATTTTCTGATAATGTTGTAAATTGCCTAAAAATGATGTGAATTTTGTGATACTATTGTAAAGTGCCTAAAAATGTAGTGAATATTTTGATAATGTTGTAAAGTGCCTAAAAATGTCGTGAATTTTCTGATAATGTTGTAAATTACCTAAAAATATTATAGGTTATTTAAAAAAATTGTAAGTTGCCCAAAAATGTGGCTGATTGTCTGATAATATTGTTTTTTGCCTAAGAGTAATGTAATTGTCCTTAATGTTGGAGATTAACTCTCCCAATGTTGTAAATTGCCTGAATATATTTTAAATTACCTGAAAATTCTGTAAATTGCTTGATAATATTGTAAATTGTCTGAAAATGTTCTAGATTTCCTGAAAATTTTATGAATTGTTAGAAAATATTTAAAAATGTTGTATTTTGTTAAAATTTGTTATGAATGACAAGAAACTTTTAAAGATGTCTGGAAATGTGGTAAATTGTCTCAAAAAGTTGTAGATTGTCTTGAAATGTCTTAGATTATCTGATAGTGTTATAAATTTCCCAAAATTATTGTTAAATATCTAAAAATGATACAGATTTATCTGCAACAGATCAAGTTTATTTTAAAATAATAAATTAATCTAAAATTAATATATTTTATATGTAAATGATGACACATATCGTGTGTCGAAACGTGTGATTAATAAAGAATTTTTTTTAACTTTCATTTTCATGCAAGGGCTGCTAATTGTTTTCAAATGTGTGTTTTATCCCCCCGGTCTCCTCTAAAAAACCCATTACGTGAATATATTCCGATTGTGCGCACTACTACCTTTTATGTAAGTTCCATATTGTAACAAACGTCTATGTCTGTATATAATATAAATAATAATTCAGGCGAACTGGCAATTTAACAATTTAGTAAAACGATGACAATTGAATAAAAGTCTTCGTTTACGCCTTGAATATTTATTAGATAATTAGCTTAATTTAATCATTAACCACGTGTTGGGCTAATTAGAAATTATCGTCGCGAATGATAATAAAATTAAAATAAATTCTGACATCAGGAATAAATGATTATTGAGATATGCTAGTTGCATTAGTATTTTTATATGATAAAATATTAGGTTGTTTCCATTATTTTTTTTTTATTTTTTTTTCAGCTGACTATTCAAGATTTCTAATGAAATACTCCTCCTACACGGAATGTGGAATGGTCCAGTGCCGTGCAGAAGGTTCCAGGGACCATTTCCACTGTCGGCACAGTGACGTCTGTGCTTCTTTGCCTTTATCAAAAAAAGAGCAAATCACCAGACATCTCAAGTGGCACCAGAAACGTTCCGATAGCCTCAGTCACGGATTCCTCAGGTTTTCCTCAACCGACGACTGTTCTACGCAATTTCCCGAGTGCACGCACAATAGAAAGCAAACGCACTATCATTGTTTGCAGCAAAATTGCGATAAGGTGTATATCAGCACTTCGGATGTGCAGATGCACTCGAATTATCACAGGAAGGATTCGGCGATTATCCAAGAAGGGTAAGAATTAATTGTATAAAATTATTAACATTAGACCAAACTTTGGGAAGAAAATTCGCGCTTAGCTTCGGACAGAAACTCCTGTTATGACATGAACTTTTTTAAATTTAAATTGTACATATTTAATTTAATGGGAGATCAAAAGGGTCTAAATTATTAAAAAAATATTCCGAAAGATATATACAACAAAAAAATAATAAGAGAGTTATATAACACAGTCGAAATTTAAAAGTGCCTCTTCATTGCTTTGACTACTCATTTTATTTAATAAAGGGTGCACGAAAGCTTTTACAGGACCTTACTAAATTTTATTTAATTTTAAACTAATTATAATTTAAACTAATTTATATGGTTAAAGTAAAAATTAGAAGTTATTTGAAAAAAAATGTAAAAAATATTTTATATCCATATATTGAAAATGATCAGAATACTGAAGTCCGCATTTTAATTACAAATTATGCAAAATTTTAATATGCAAGTGTATATAGTTGTTATAACTGTTTTTACGTAATTTTAGTAAACTTTATCTAGTTTTCACTAATGTACTCAAATTATAAAAGAACGAAAAAAAAGTTATTTTAAAAAAAGGAAAAAAAATGTGCTGAATTCATATAATGCAAATTATCAAAATACTAAAGTCTACATTTCAACTACGAATTATTCAAAATTTCAATATGCAAGTATATACAACTGTTTTCACTAGATTTTAGTACATTTTATCTAGTTTTTACTAATATCAACAAAACATAATGTCCAGAGTAAAAAATTAAAAATATTTGCAGTAACGTAAAAAATGTTATAAATCCACACAATGCAAATCATACAAAATACTAAAGTCCGCATTTTAACCACGAATGATTTAAAATTTTAGTATCCAAGTATATTTAACAATTTTCACAAAAATATAGTATATTTTACGTAGTTTTTACTAATGTAAAAAATTAAAATGTCTAGAATAAAAAATCAAAGACATTTGAAGAAAACTACAAAATGTTCTAAAACTATATATATCAAATTATCGAAATACCAAAGTTCGCATTTCAACTACGTGTTATTCAAAATTTTAGTATTCAAGTGTATGTAGCAGTTTTTACTGGATTTTAGTTATTAACATTCAAAAAAGTGAAAATGCCCAAGCAATTCTACAGACGGGTATTTTCACCCACCCCGCTTATAATGTTAATACAAATTTCGTTTATTTTTCAGATTTCAGAGGTTTCGTGCAACTGAAGAATGCAATGCTGAATATTGCATATTTTATCGTCAGCGAACCACACATTTCCATTGCCGAAGGAGTAATTGTCAATATACTTTTAAAAATAAAGCAGACATGGGTAAGTATCCTCTAAACATTCGTACAAGGTTTCATACAAAATAGGTTTATAAAATGTGTATCTATTTTTATCTAGAAAAACATAAGACTTACCACATAAAAGACGAGCAGCTCAACAGGGACGGTTTCAAAAAATTCCTAAAGACTGAAGAATGCAATTACAAAGATTGCAAATTTTCGCGTAACTGTAACCACATCCATTGCATTCGCGAAAATTGTAATTACGTACTGCACTCCAGCGGACAATTATTTTCGCACAAAAGGAAACATGAACGAAAAGATCAAGAATTGAGTTATAGAAGGACACATATATCAGACGTGGACATCCCTGCAGAATTGTTCTCTCCTGCCATGATGTATGGGCAAAGACCAAATCAGGGTTTGGGCAAAGTAGTGTTGTCTACTGGTACTGAAATATCGGTGATGCCTACGGATTTGAGTATGAATTCTAGGTCTGTAGAAAATTCTGCAAATCCTTTGCCGGATATTAGTATACGCGCATGTGCAGTTTCACCCAACCAAAGCAGCCCTGAAGAAAGCATCGCTGCAAACATCATCAAAAAGACGGAAAATGTATCCAATAATGCTCCGAGTGAAACTTTCAACACATTTCTGCAAAGATACATCACAGATAGATGTACCAGTAACGACATGCCTTCACCACCAACCCAAAACCAAAATCAAACCAACAATTTAATTGATTGTTACTTCAGCAGACAAGTCAAACACGTTCATTGTCTGGTTCCTGAATGCCCTGCTCAGAGATTTCAACAGATCATTCCCAAAACCTTCGAAGATATTATCAAACACTTCAAATACCATTTTGATATCGAGGATTCTGAGTTGGAAACGAGTGGCAATGAAGTGAATAATTTTAGGAATCACAAAATTGAAGAACAAAGAACTAATGTTGAAATGGGGAATTTGAACCATGATGGTGCTGATCAGAATTCTTGCAGCATCGGAGAATTTTTCAATAGGAAACGGGGAAGGCCGCCGAAGAACCGATTTTTTGAGGTGTATAATACGGTAAGCAAAACAATATTATAGACTTATTGTTTATTTTGAAAGTTTAATCTCTTTTAATAAGCAGTTTTAAATACACTAATCTGAGTTCTGTAATTTGGCAAATTATTAGGTACGTGTATATCCCCTGAATTTTTTTTACATATTTTCATTAAAACCAAAGCGCCTTCATTGGTCACGTGTTTGATTTTTAAGAATTTTTAGACCATCGATATTGATTCTTGATTTTTTTATATTTGTTTTTTTTTTTAATTTATATTTATTTTTTTGGAATATAAATATACGTAATGTTTTACTAAACCCCCTCTCCCCTTTGTGATATTTCATGTTTTTTCATCAAACTCATCTCCATTGATCACGTGATCGATTTTTAAGGATTTTTGGCATATCCTCCCTCTTGTTGATTTTTGCATTTGTTTTAAATTTATATAGAATATAAATACTTGTGGTATCTTATCCACTAGACCCACTTCCCTTTTGTGATATTTCAGGATTTTTGTATCAGATTTCTACACTTTTTTCAAGGGTCACGTGACCAATGAAAGCTCAATAATAAATTGGCCACGGATTTTTTTTTAGATTTTTTGACCAATTTTTTAAAATGAAAATTCATATATCCCTAAATTTTCACCCCCTCACTACAAACCGAAATTTTGCAAAATTAATTATGAGAATTGCGTCATTTTTGATTCGGCTTTTTGACAGCTAATGCTTTTCAAAGAATTTCAATTAAGATGTTTTGAAATTATAAAAAAGTTTAATTTTTACATAAAAAAACAATGTAATTTAAAAAAAAAACACTTATTTTAAATATCTTGTGTCAATTTTCTTTATTTTATTTGACTATGCATCAAGTTGTTGTGAAAATTTGGGAAATTATTAGGTTTATGTACGAAAAGATTTTTGCACATTTTCCTTAAAACTATGTAATGAGAATTGGCCTGAATTTTCTTTAATTTTTTGACTATTTTATTTTACTTTTTCTCCTCTCACCACAAATCCATAATTTATAAAAATCATTATATATCATATAAAATACTTTTATATATTTTCAAAAAAAACAATCAATCAAAAATTGAAAGTGCTGAGAGTTGGCCACCCCTAGCCTTTTTTAATTTTTGGGCCATTTTATTTTACTTCATAATGAGTGCCTAAAAAACACGTACAACCCTAAATTTTCTGAATTTATAAAAAAGATTAAATTTTATGTAAAAGACAATTTCATTTGATCAAGTATAAATACAACTTCTATTACATTTACATAATTTATGAGCACTTTTTTTTAACAAAAATTACCATTGCAAACAAATTTTGTCTGTAACTTTGTCAGAACATTCCTTCATCAAGGTTAGAAAAACTATTGATATAATCTTTCTTTTATAAATTTGTCTTTTAAATTTATTTTACATTTTATTTACAGTTTTTTATTGTTTGGGTAAAAGCTCATATAATCCTTTTTACCCCACCCACACTTAAGCTTTTATAGAGGTTATATAGAAAAAACCTGTTGAATCTAACTTAAATTTAACAATACGTCTTATAAAACGTTTAAATACCGTAGACTTAAAAATTTTATTAAGGTCTACTAAACTAAACAATAGTGCTCACGACCCACAAAACTAACAACGAAAGAAAATACTTTTGTTATGGATTTTCAAACATTGACGTTTATGTTCTGACACCAACGTTGTAAGAAACAAGGTGATGCCTGGTTGTACATCTTTTGCCCTCTACTTGCAAATAATATTGTTAAAAAATTGTTATGTTTTTAATTTATGTAGAATATAAATACAGGTAATGTGTAACAAGATAGATCCCCTTCACCATTGTAATATTTTGTGTTTTTTTTTGTCACCTAAAAAATTGGCCACCCCTAAGATTCTTTTTTAGTTTTTGGACTAATTTTAGTTAAGCATAATTAAAAAATACATATAACCTTAAGTTTTCATCCCCTTACTACAAACTTTACTTGTTTTTGGAGATCGCTGATGGATCTTAGTACCCACGGATTTAAACAAATTTCCTTTACCATGTGTCTATTACCCTTCTAGGCTCTGAATTCTCCGCAAGGATATTTCACTTCGTTCAAATTGGAGCAAAACAATTCGAACGTCGTTCGTCCCGAACGCAAATTTGATCCGAATGAGAAGCAACAATCGCCGCCACAAAATCTAACAGAATGCAATTTAAATGAAGCGAATAACGAAGAAGATGAAGCATATCGCGTATCAGGTGAGCAAAAATCAAAAACAGTGATTTATATGACGTAGTATATAGTGTTTATGACAACCGTCAGACGTTGCTTATTTTACGAGCTCTATTCAGAAACAGAGGTCTCAAACCTAAAAGGTAGAAAGATGGAAATTAGTTGGAAGTTGCATTTTGCCTTTGGGCAAGTTGCATGGTAATAGTCAATCAACTTAAGGGGCATACCTAGTGTGACAACCTAAAAAAAAAACATTTTTGGGAATTAAAAAAAAATTAGTGAATCCATCTATTTAAAATTTTGAGGGTATATTTATACATGTTTTGAGTTGCGTTTGGCCTTAAGGCAAGTTGCACGATAATAGACAATCAACTTAAACAATAAGAGTTGAGATTCGGCTAGTTAGGCAAAATGTTCAACGTTCGTGTTTATTTTGAAATTGAAATTTTTGCTCTTACTAAAAAAATAATCAGTACGGATTCCAATCAATGTGTTTTAAACACACTTATAGTATCTGTAATTGTATAAAAAAATTAAATTGTTTAACACAATTCATTTCGTCGTCTATTTCGTGTTTTAAAAATGTTCTTGATTTATTTAAGTATAAACTTCGGCATAGATTCTGATCAGAATCGCTTAAGCGCCCTTCTACATTTTGATTAATTTTTAAAATTCAATCGCTTATTGTAGGACTATAATATTTTAGTATGTTATTTTAGGCTACGAAATATATTATCGTGCAAAGTTTCGTCAAAATCGTTAAACAGCACGATCTTCCAACCAATAAATTTTAAACCAATATCTTTTATTACCAGTTTTTGAATTTTTCAAATAAAATTTTTTTACGTAAACGTGGCCAGAACTTTTTTGCTGATTTTTTTAAATTATTTCAGCCGTGTTTTAGAAACCGTCATCGTAACGCAAATTTTGACTCACGTCAAAAAAGCTCATTTTTTAAACTTTGATTAATTTTTTATTTTTAAACTTTGATTAATTTTCAAAATTAAACAACTTGTTATGGAGAGCCGTAATATTTTAGAATGTTCTTTAGGACGATGATCTCTAATATCCTATAAAGTTTTCGTTCAAAATCGTCAAAAAAATTCAGAAATGAATTACCAAGAAACGACGCTACCAATCTTGCCAAAAAATGTTCAGCACGACTATCAAGCAATATTTTTGCATAAATTTTGAATAAAATATGACAAAAATGTTACACTTTTTTACTAATTCTAGAGTAACGGTTTGACGAATCGTTGCAAAAAACTGTCAAATTCTAGTCCTTATCGAGTTACATAAATTGGCTTTTTTTGGAATCTGTTCAGCCGTTTTAGAGAAAAATTTGACGAAAATTCAAGTTCACGTCCAAAAAACGTTTGCTCATTTTGTCAAACTTTAACGATTTTTTAATTAATAAGAAACGACTTAACGTATCTGTAAAATTTTAGTATGTTTTTTAAGAATAAATTTCCATCATCGTAAAAAGTTTTATCAAAATTGTCAAAAAAAAATCAAGAATTAATTACAAATAAACTATCCGGCTAATTTTTACCATAAACTGATTAGCACGATTCTCAACTAATATCTATCCAACAGTTTTTAAATTTTTAAAATCGAATCAAAATTTTTGCCTAAAACGTGGACGAACATTTTGGCTCTTTTTTCATAATTATAAAAAAATTTGCTTGGCAGATCGTTGCGCAAAATTGATAAAAAATAATCCTAATCGAGTTACATCGAAGGGCTTTTAATTTTTTTGAAAACATCGTCGAAAGATCAAAAATTGGCTCATATACACACAAATATACATAAACACACACATACAATCTAACATTTTTCAAGTTTGGCCTCTTTCAAATCAGAATGACTTGAAACGTCGAGAAAATACAAAATTAGCAAAGCGTTTGACAAAAAATGACCAAATATTACATGAAGACCAAATATTACATTACGTGAATTCCATTTTAACTAAATTATATAAAAAATTCAAAAAGAAACTCCAAAAATTTAACATGAGGAAAGTTAAGTTTCAAAATTACCACGTATCATAGAGTCCAAAAATCCTTAAAAATCGATCACATGATTAACGGATAACTCCAAAACGATTTGCGAAAACATATACTTTTTCTTCGGAAAGTTTAAAAAAATTGCAAATATATTAGAGTCATTTAATATTTTATACGTACTTCAATTCAGATAAATTTAACTCACTTGTTTCATTTTAAAACCAACTTAACTAAAGGACTTGACACTTTTTTAACAAAGTTTTTTTTATTTTTATTATTTTTATGACTAACTCTATACTTATAGCATTATCTATCATAAATTTTTCATTCGGTATGATAATCAAAATTAATTGAGTGTAAAGTAAAATTTTAGTCATTTGTTTATGAAATACTATATTTATAAACAAAATATTTCTGAAGTGACTAATTGTAATCTTAGGTTGTAAGCCGGAGTCCAATCACACGAAACACATCATACGGTTCTAATTTGCAATCGGAATTAATTCTCATTTGCTTATGCATTTGATAATAATTACTAATATTTCTGTTTCTTAGAATACTGTCGAGAACGGTAATATTATTTATTCACGCTACAATTCCAATTTCATGGCTGAATCATTCAATCAGCTATTTATCGTTGCTAAGCTTAATGGGCGCGCACGGTAGCCCATTAAAGTGATCATTTTATGGAGCTATTATTACCATTCGGAGATGCTACAGGATTGTATTCATAAATGCATAAACTCGTCATTATTGTATTTTCATACAGCACTTTTTATTGTTGCAGTCGTACGCTCGTCGGGAATTTTCTATCCGCAAAAATCCGAGAACAAAAATGCACCATCGGACGATGGCAACGGTAAGGACTTCCTCTCGCACCGCACGAGCAATTTGTATCGTGTAACTATTCAAGAATCATTTGCTATAATAAGTAATTTAGATTTATTCGTTACAGATCTTTGCAGATCATGTTGCAAATTGAAGAAGAAAATACATTTTCATTGCGAAATATGCAACCAAGCGTTTACCGACAAAGGGAAATTGCAACTGCACGAGTTGCGCCATAAAAACATGACGGTGGAAACGACTCCTGAGAGGAAAATCAGTCATCCTTTACTAGATTTGTTAAAACCGAATGAAATCAAGGATGAGGTGTTGGATATGTCGCCTAAGCGAATGTCGCCTTCGCATCCGATTTTGAGTGCTAATTTGACTAATAACACAGCCGAACCTGAAGATCTTTCGAAGAAAGTCGAGTCGGCAACAGTGCCTTCATCTTCGTCAGAACCTGACGTGGAAAACTCTGCCTTAGATCCAAACGTGGTTAATTTTCTACACTTCCAAAGACTTCAACTATTCTTCCAAAACTACTACCAACAACTTATGGGCCAACAAATGCTAATGCACCCAAATCAACCCTTACCAGAAATGCCTTCAGGAATACCTTACCCAACAGATCCTGCACTGCACAACGCCCTTCTCGATATGAAGAATGCCAAAAGACCCTTGGTCGAATCCGAAGGCCAAGATTTACTACAAAATTTTAAGAAAATTAAACTAGAAAAAATGTACGATAATAGAAACGATTTAGGCAAACCTTTGAATGGAATTGATCAACCAATAATTAACCCAGCGCTGATGGAATACCCACCAAATTTTCCAATGTTACCCAATTTTTTAAAACAAGAACTACCTCCAATGCCTGTACGGATGCCTTGCTCTACAAAACAAAATAGGATATTTAAGGACGAACCTGTACCTAAGGGTTATCTAAAATTCAAATTCAACGAAGATTGCAATTTTATGAACTGCGGGTACAGAAATCATCAGAGCCACTTCCACTGCATCAGGTAAAAACAAACAAATTTTTATAAATATTAGGTTGTCAAATATCTCCCTTCCGCTTTTTTGCTCTTGGTTTATAATACAAAAAGGCGGAAGGAAGATATTTGACAACCTATATGTCTTGTATCTAATTATTTATTATCTTGTATCTAATTATTTATTATTTTTCCTAGGAATGACTGTTGCTACAGTTTTTGTGATAAAACCAGATTTGTTCAACATTCAGCCAGGCACGAACGTTTGGACAAACTGATGGGCGGAGATTTCAAACAATTTAGAGCAAATATGAGCTGCGATTATCAAGATTGCGAATACAATAAGAACATAGGTAAGACTTGATTATTAAAATTACACTTAAAAAAATATTATGTATGTATTATATGGTAAATTTTTGCTGTATCGCTTGTGCCAGATTCAATAATCGTATTCCGAACAAGTCATGTTTTATTTTGCAACATCTTCTTACTTTCACAAATTGTACGGTGTGTATAGCACAAATAGGTACTTCATTTCACACTCGCTAATAAATTAGAATAACTTGAATTTTGGTTGTGCAATTGAATCGATTAATTCGCCATTGTTTATTATTTAACATATGATCATAAAAAATTCATGGTAGGGCTTAAAGATCCACGGGTGAAAAAGTCTGTCACTATTATCTCAAAAATAAGTGAAAAAATGAAATTTTTAATTATGCTATTTTAAAGTAGAGGGCAAAAAATGTATAATCATCCATTGCCTTAAATCAATCGATTTTGTCATAACAAGATAAACGGCTACATAGTCAATTTTTATCAACAGTATTTTGTTCGTTGTTAGTTTTTTTAGCTTTGAGCAGTGTTATTTAATTTATGACACTTGTACATAATTTTTAAGTAACGTTTTTACATTGTTCTTTAAGGTGTATTATTATTTTTATGTTAGATTCAGTAGTTTTTTTTTAAACTATTTTTATATAGAGTAGGGCAGGCCTAAGGGGCCAATTTGAATTTGAGCAATAACAAAAATATTTGTCGATTTTTACTACTGTCAAAAAATCTCTGTCATATTCAGACTTATTTATATTTGAAATAAAATTTTTAAATATAAGAAAAATAAAACTTCTGCCTGAAAAACATATTTTATGGGCACATTTTTTACAAAGATCTTCGTATGGAAATTCGTCAGAATAATTTATCATTAGAGTTGTAAAAATATTTAATTTAATCTATTTTTTGTGAACTTGTCTTTTTAAACTTATTTTACTATGTTATCTATATATCAGTAAAGTTCAAGTGAAAGTTCAGGTGGTCCTTTTTCCTCAACTACTTCTAGATTTATATAGAAAATGTTATATAAAATATGTTGAATCTAACTTAAAAATAACATTACACCTTATGAAACAATTGTAACGTATACTTAAAAATTTTAATCGGGTATTGTAAATTAAACAACACTGCTCAAAACATAAAAAACAAATAACAAAAAAAAAATCCTTTACAAAAATGATACGGTAGTCGTTTATTTTGTGTCATATGAAAAAAAAGTTGAATATGATCCAAAAATAACAATACATCTTATAAAACAATTAAATAACGTATACATAAAATTTTTGTCAGGTATCGTAAACTAAATAACAGTGCTCAAAACGAAAAAAAAACTGACTAAATACTTTTGCTACGAAATTGACAATGTGGCTTGATATCCAAGTCGTCCGATTTCCAAGATTTACTACAAAATTTTAAGAAAATTAAACTAGAAAAAATGTATGATAATAGAAACGATTTAGGCAAACGATTTAAGGCGATGTCTAATTGCACATCTCTTGCCCTCTACTTTAAAATAACAGTGCTCAAAACGAAAAAAACCAACTAATACTTTCCATACAAAATTGATAATATTTGCGCGCATCTTTTGATATCTAGGTTGTCCGATTTAAAGCGTTGGCTGGTTATACATCTCTTGCCCTATACTTTCAAATAGTATTGTCGAAAAATGCCGTAATTAGGGGACGACCGTTATTGCCCTACTGTATAAAAAGTTGGTAAAAAACTGCTGAATCTAACTTAAAAATAACAATAAACCTTATAGAACAATAACTTGAAAATTGAAATTAAGTATCATAAACTAAATAACAGTGCTCAAAACAAAAAAAATTAACTATAACTTTTGTTACTAAATTAGCAATATGGCTTGATAACCAAGTCGTCCGAATTAAGGCGATGTCTGATCTTTCTTGCCCTCTACTTTAAAATAGTATCATCAAAAAAATGTCACAATTTATTTTTTTTACACAATTGTGGTTGATTTTTCTAAGCCCCGCTCTACTCTATGATCTTATATTTTGGTGTTGCAACTTCAAACATTATATTTCCATTTTCGAGATACAAAAATATAAATTTACAATTTACAACTGCCGGCAATTATTGATACACATTTAGATATCCCATTCGCAACTGCGAGCACTAACCTCATTTCGATTAATCGACGTGCAAGATCTCAATCTTAAAATTATTATCAAACAACAGAGAATACTATTGCAATAATGATTGATTATTAAATTTATTCCAAAACAGGGCCGAACAATAAATCATCACATTTCCACTGTCTGAGTTGCACATTTGTTTGCTCCGATACAAATAAAGTTGTGGCTCATAGACGTCAACATAGTAAGATGAACCAAATAAAAAGTGCAGGATTCGAAAAATTCACACCAGGAATGGATTGTACACGAGGTGCAGGTGGAAATGATAATTCTGATGGATCTCCCAATGAAGGTTCGACCAGGGCCGAATCGGGCAGTTGCGTCCACAATATGAAACAAACACATTACCATTGTCTGGTGTGCAATTATGCAGTTTTGGGCCTGGCGCAGATGTCTGCACACAAATTCAGGCACATGGACTGACCTAAATGGTGCAAAAACTTTGTAAAGACTTCAGTGAAAGTGAAGATTGTGTTTTAATATTTTTTATAACTTTTTATACCTGAAGTGATCAACGCCACTTCATTTTTTTAAGACTTTTTGACCAATAAGCTTGAGTGATAGTCAATGGACCTATAAATAAAAATCTGTAAGTGATAAATTAAGTGTAGCTATAAATCTTTTTATTACCGTACTATTACTATCATATTATAGTCAAAATATTATGTGAACTGTGAATTACACATAGCTCATCGTGTGTCTTTAATAGGATTTGTATATTTACCATTTAATAACGCAATTACAAATACTACAAAGAATCGATTTAACATAACGATCATGTGTTAAAGGCCATAATTATACTGTGACATATATAGAAATATTATATACATATAATGAGACTCATTTGAATGCCACTATTGTGCTACGGAACTACGGAACGTGTTGAAATTTTAACCTCGGGACATTTTCTAAAGTGTTGCTCATGGTAGAAGATAGGAATTTTGAGATTTTTGAGTAAACGACGATTTAATATTAACATAAAAGTAATGCTTTTTGAGATATTAAAAATATTTTGAAGACGCTTCAGTCGTAAGCTGTTGGTAATTTTCATGTGGCTTATGCAAAACAAAAATTCTATTTTTTTTGCATCTGTTCGAAAACTGTCTCAATTTCATTGTACTTTAAAATGAATTTTTATTAATAATTTTAAAATTTATTCTAAAATATTGCTCATGGTAAAAGATAGGAATTTTGAGATTTTGGAGTAAACTACGATTTACTTACATGCTTAAATAATATCAACGTAAAAGTATTGCTTTTTGAGATATTAAAAATATTTTGAAAAAAAACTCAGTCGCAAGCTATTGGTAATTTTAATCTGACTCATTCCTAAAAAAATATGGTAAAGGATTTTTTTGCATAAAAACTGTATCAATTTTATTGATTTTTAGAAATGAAAGTTTTAATAATAATTTTAAAATACTTTTAAAAAGACTTGGTTGCAAGCAGTTGGTAATTTTGATAGGACTTATTTTGATAACAAATTTTATGCGATTTTTTTTAAATAACAATTTAATAGAAATATTTTTTTTCTCAATTTATGAATTTAACTAATTTCTAACTAATTTTGTTTTGGCGATATTCAAATTTTTTTTAGCAACAAAATATTTTTTTACATTTGAGATGAAATACAGTTTGCTGTTTGTAATTTTCTTTTCAAAATCATTTTTATTTTAATCTTCTATTTTTATCAATCAAGTTGAACACGATGATAATTGTCCAGAAATTAATACTGCACCTCATTTTCGAATTTATAACATATAAAATATTTTTTATAAAATTACTACCATATAATTATTGCATTCTCAAATATTTTAACTTATTTTCAAAATATTTTTTTTTGGTCGATTTTCTTTTCGCATCGGCATAAAACTTTCTATATTCATAAATTGAGCTTTTAACTTGGTACTTTATTTCCAAAATATTTTTTACTATTTTATTTAAATTGGCACTAAAAGATTCACAATTCATATATTTAGTAAATTATAAGACAGACTAATCTCCTTTTAGTGAACTTCAACATTTTTTTTTATTAGTTACTTGAAATTATGAATAAATATTTTTTTATATTTGGAATGAATAAATTTAACAAATTTGTAAACATTTCATAACTCGTTAATGCAATCTCCAATCTTTTTATGATGTTATAAAAAAAATCATATTTTGAAGAACATTTTATATTTTTCGAATTTGAGACCTTTGAGACATTTAAAAAAAATTTAAATTTTTGTTCATTATTATTTTAATATGATTTTTACTTTTTTCACAGATATATGGTGACAGCATTTAAAAATAATTACGTAAATTATATATTTAAAAGAAAAAAATGAAAAACAGCATAATTTTGTAAAACTTATTTTTAAAGGCTACAGTTTTACGATAGATCGTTAATAGAACTTAAATTTAAAAAAAAATATTAAAAAAAAAATAATACAACATTTTTAATATGAGGTAAAATATTTTTTTAAATTTTTTTATAACTTTTTAACTGATGATCAAATATAAATAGAAGAAATCAAAAAAACTCTTTAACAAGCACCCATAGATATTATAAAGAAAAACTAAATTATATTCTTAAAAAAATCAGTGGACTTCCATACGTTTCTAGTCTCAATTTGACTCTTCCTCAGTGGAAAAAACGTAATATGAAATTTATAAAATAAACAATGAAAAATTCTGATATAGTACGAAAAATTAGTACATACATAAATAATGCATATCATTAAAAAATCATCTGATATCTGGATGGGTGTCTGTTGAAAAGCTCTTTTGTTTATATATATATATATATATATATATATATATTATATTTCAATTGAATGTCAAAATTACCATACTCGCCTCGCGCGTTGAAACGATCTGATTATAATTATCAGATTTTTTCCAAAATATTTCCCACATATTACCTGATTTACAAATCGCTAATTCATACTCTGACATATCAATTTCGAATGAAAATTACACGTACTCGAGTTCCAATTCCTTTCCGACGTATGTAAATTTAATGTAACTTATATGCATTCTAGAAACATTCTGTTTCAGAATCAATTACATTAAATTATCCGACATTTCAACACGTTTCGTCTTTAAGCACGTTTTAGTCAAAAAATTCATATATTAAAATCATAGACTATATCATAGATTATTTTAGAACTGAACAAATATTACAGTTATTATATTATATGCATAAATGTAACTTTAGATAGAGTTTAGAGGACAAAAATCATTTTATGACAGAGAAATTGAATCTATTTTTATTATATATGAAATTTTTACATTTTTATATACGAAATGTATTAAAATTGGTATCGACAAAATTAATATATTATATATTTTAAAAATAAAAAATACTTTTAAATATGAACTGTTGTTTTTATTTTTTTCAGAAGGTGGACGATGACTCACTAATATATTTCAGGAACCATTTTTTTTGTTTCATTATATTTTTTCTTTAATCTAGATTTTAATAGAAATAACGTTAGAAAAAATTTTCAAAAATATGACAAAAAATTGAGATAGAGAACATTAATAGAATGATTTTTTTCAGAAATTTTTGATAACATTTTAGATGTTTGTATTGGTAGTTTTTTGGTCAAGGTTATTTGGTTTTTATTGGTCAAGGCTTTATCTTTATTATTATAAAGCAGTTGTAATAAATTTCTATGAATATATTTATATTTTTTGTTTCCTTAAATAGCAAGCAAAATACAGTACTGCAAAAAGAACAAAATATATTTTAAAATTGCATTAAAAATAATTTAATTTAATTAATTGATTATTAATTTAATCTAGATATTATTAAAAATATATTTGTTTAAAAAAATTAATTTAATTTATTGAAATATGAAATAATGTTAGGAATGATTTTTGAATAAAAAACGACAAAAAATGAGGTAGAGAACCTTAATGAAATGATTTATTTTTCAGAAATTTTTGATAACATTTTAGATGTTTTTATTGGTAAAAATTCAAATCTCTAACTTTATTATTATAAAACAGTTGTAATAAATTCATATAAATAAAAATATACATATTTTTTACTTCCATAATTAGCAATTAAAATTCAGTATTGTAAAAAGAACAAAAAATATTTTAAAATAACATAAAAAAATAATTTAAATTTTACTGAAGAGAAAGAAGTCTATAGTTTTATTCAGAATATTCAAAATATTTTCTTTCAAATTCAATATAATTTCATTATTTACTAATTTAGAATAATTACATTTATTTCGAATGATTTTGCTTTTTGTTTTGCATTTATATTTACCTATAATTTAATTTTTAATTTAATTATTTAAATCTTTTAAACCTTGAGAATATTTCATATACAAACACTTATAATTATTTAAATATTTATAATCATTTTATTTTTATCATTTAAACTTATATGTTCTCAATTAAAATAATCTAAAAATTACAATTTTTTAATAAAATAGTTGACAAAATTTTATTCAATATTTTACAAATAATTATATCTTTTCTGAGAAATTTTTCTTCTATTTGAAATTTATTCGTAATTTTGATAAATAATATTTTAATTTATAATTAAAACCTTAAAATTCATTTATATATAAATACTTAAAATAGTTTGAATTATTTTAGTATTTTTACTGAAAACTTACTAAAAATTAACAAAGGACTAACAAAATTTTATCTAATAAGATTCTCATTGAATAAAAATTCTTGCAAGTAGCAAATTCAGTAATTAAAAAAAACATTGAATTATGTCTTTATATTTTTGATAAATATTAATAAAATTAATGTTTCATACAATTATAAATTTTGTTTAATTTATAGTGTTTGTTTTAATAAATTTTTTTTACTTTTGCCTTCAATCACAAATGTATAATTATTCCACATGGAACCCAATGCAAATTTCTGCACAAATCAAACTTTTTAATACAACTATAAGTTATAAATCAGTTCCAAGCGACAATAAATCTTTTCGAATAAGCAACAAAATAAATAATAACATCGGTTACTTGATCCTAAAGCCATATTAACCGAAACGCTTAGTACATTTTCGCAAATAAATTGTGATCGTAAAATCTCTTATGGATGTTAAAATATTTCAAAAGGGCATTAAAAAAAATAACGAGCTTATGTTTTTATTACATTTCTCATTCTCGCGTAGAAATAAAAATACGATCGTTCGTCTAATGTTATTTGTAAATAACAAATAAAATAAAATAATTTGGTTCTAGAGAGAAACCGATCCAAACAGCTGCCTCCCGAAAAACAGGTTTCGGTAATGACCAGAAAATTCTCATTATATTATTTTTCAAATCAGTCTTGTAGTAATATTGTAAATGAGTTTCGGGTTTGTTTCGTTTCGTTTATTTTTACAGATATTTAGATTTTTTTGCATGAGCTTTTAGAGATATGGGAAATGTATTGATGACTCGGCACGCACTATTAATTAA